TTTGAAAGTAGGATGCATGTCTGGTTTCCAGCTGCTGGAATCTGTAATCACACAGCATATTTGGGCCTGCTCCTGCAGTGAGCTCTAAGTTCATTGCTTACAAAGCTATCAGGTTTTGTATTAAAACCCGGTGAGGGCTATCAGCCTCTCAAGGGCTTCCTTGCCAGAGCAAAGCCTTTGTAGGCATTTCTTCTGTTAAGGGCCCAAGAGCTGGAATTATCCTTGATGCTTACCAGCTACTTGATATCACTGCATTGCTGGCTGATCTGCCTGAAGAGTTTTACTCTTAAGATCAATCCATTGATCAACGCTGCAGGCTGTAACTGTTGTGAGAGAAAGGTGTTTGTCTTCGTGCCCTGCACAGTGTTTTGTGGAGGAGGATATAAAACGCATCTCCTCCCTTGGCATGATGGCTGTCCTCTTGGTCTAGCCTGTGAGTATTGAGTTTTACACATAAGAAGTAACTGGATTAAACAGATTGTCTTCCCAGACAGCACACTCAAGGCCTCTAAATAATGAAGTGTAATGACAGTAATTTTCAGATGATAATTTCTGAATGAGTTACTGTGCTTTTGTGTGCTGGCCACTCTATTGCATGCTGGAGACTTCCTGTGCTTCTGCAGTGGCTTAAAGCTCAAAACAAAACTTAAAACAATGAATTAAATCAGTTTTCCAATAAGAGAAACACTTACCTGTTCCCAAACACAAAACCTTTCAGAGTAGCATTTACAAAAAGTATTTACTTTGACCTATAATGTGGGCCTAGCCCTTTAACTTGGGTTGAGTGATTGACTGCAGGACCAGTGTGCTCAATCAAGGGCAGGTGCACAAGTCTGGTGGTTAAAAAAAAAAAAAAAAAAAAAAAAAGTGAAAAACAACAAGAAGCAACTGAAGTAACAAGGAAAGAACAGCCTGGACAAAACCAATGAGATTTCTTGCCCTTGGCATTATGGGCCGTGTTATTTCCATCTATGAAATAGAGTTTGTAGGATTTCTAAGGTCTAAAAAGTCTAGCTTTAATTCAACAGTGCCTCTAATGTACTGTGAATTCTTCTAGCTGACAGTGATGGCACAGCAACGATATGGCAAAGACTGTTAACTCAGCCCCTTCTGGTTTTCCTTCCCCATCTACTGGAGGGGCTGCCTGTGTCACATGGGTGAGATGGCTTGTGACTGGCATTCGAAGCTGAACTTTGCAGTCTCTGTAGCAGTTTGAACAGCCCTTATTTTGGAGGAACATGGAGGCAGCAATTTCTCGTTCAGATCCTGCCCTGCCTTTGAAGGTTAAGCTGTGCTCTGCTTTCAGGTGCTCGTGTGCCCCTATCAACCCGCTCTCATCACAGCAGATTGGGTGAGTGCCTGCTTAGCCACATTTCCCTCCAGATAGTCACCTGCATAGATTTGTTAATGCTGTCAGGAGAAAAGAAAAAAACATGGGGTACTTTGGAATGGCAGCCTGATTTTTATTGTTCGACAATACGAGCTGTTTTGTTGAGTTTTGGCCTGTGTTATTCTGGCATGTTTTTGAAGCACTGCTTTTCTAATAGTTTTCCACTGGCTGACACAGGAGGCTACTCATAAAATTATTATAGAGAAATCTGAATGTTGCACTCTACAGAAAAATGAAAAATTAATGTTATGCATAATAAATAGGAACATTTACCCTTTGACAGCAAGAACAAGCTCAGCTGATTGCAGGTATTTCTAAGGATGCTTTTGAGTTTTGCCCTCTTATGTAGTCAGAACTGGACTTCCTGCATGGATGTGTGAGAGTTTCTGGTCTTTGTTCAAAGCAGCCAGGGCCAACATCAGTAACTGTGTTTGTTGTCATTGGGAAAATAGGCAATTTGCCCTTCTGGCAGTGATGAAGGTGTGATTTGTAAATAGAAATATGGGAGCAGTGCTGTGGCTGCAGGTGAAGTGAAGATTTGACAGAGGTGCAGCAGAGCTGGGTTATCTGGTGGGACAGAGGAGGACAGTCCTGTCAAAACTGCTCTGGATGAGATCCTGCAGAAAGCAGCCATGGTTATTGAGGAGAAATTCTACAAATTATGTGGGATTTCAGTGAAAGACCCCAGGCTGCTACTTCTCATTATGGGACACTGTGCCACATAGCTTCATTTGACATATTTCAAGCTTGCAGTGTCTTTAAGCAAAGTATATTTTACTGGTCACGTTGTAGATACTGAGATGTTTGTTCCAGCTTGCTATACTGATCCTGTTTGTTTCTTTTGAACAGATGCCATTGCTTGTGGCATGGTGTTGCTCTTTCAGAAGATGTCCATTCACATGGCATACTTTTGCAGGTTTCAGTTCTCAGGAGGCTTTTCTCTGCTCTGGTCTCACATCTGAGGTATTTTTTTCATTCATTTGCACTTGATTTGCAAACTCAGACACTGGAGGAGCATTTGGGAGTGCATCTCTTGCCCTGTTTTTCCTCTTCCTTGGACACCTGCCTTGGCCACGGTTGAAGGCAGGCTCCTGACTGAGGTGGGTGCTTAATGTATCCTATGAATGCTGCTCTTCTTCAGTCTCTCTTGTTTTTTATTCCCCCTACCCTAATGCTGAGAAGTTGCTTGAGAACATACCTAAGCCTCTTCCCTGACTTCAGCCTGGCATCAGCTACAGGCTGGAGATCGTGGGGGCAATGAATAGTTCAGCTACCAGTCTCTGGCTGCCAGGTTACACAGTAACTCCGCAGAATAAGCCTCCCTTTCTTAAATACGGAGCTCTCATGGTAACTGGGGATGTAGTGGATCAGCCCTGGCAGCACTTAGTACCCTGGTGCCTGCAGCTCCCTACTGCCCTGGGCCTGGCTGCCTCACAGTCAGGATATGGAGTTTTGTCTGTGTTCAAGCCTGTTCCTCACTAATGTATCCCAGGAATCTCTCAGCTGTTTCTTCTGCCTTTTCACAACACTATGCAGTCTTTTTTTGCCCAATTTGAAGGTCTTAAAATTTATATATTTTTAAACAAGTCGCTCTCTGCACTGAACTCTGGAGAGCAGCAACTGAAGGCTGTGTGCATGAAGCTGGGACGGGAAGCTGGAAAAAGAAGATCCACCAGGACCCTTCCTTTCTCTCCCTGACCCTAGTGAGGACCTGCTTGGATCCCATGCTTTGTTTTGAGTCTGTCACCTCAGTGATCAGGGAGCTGTTGGAACAGGCTGAGAACAGGCTGTGCTGGTGCCAGTGGCACAACACAAAAAAGCATTCACAAATAATGAAGCTCTGAAACACCCTGAGCAGCTTGAATTGGGGTCACTTGTGCTGTGGAAAGAAGTGGGCCGGACTGGGGGAGCAGGGAAGTGGCCTTCCCCTTGCCTGTCTGGTAGAAGCAGCCTCCAAGGCAATGGGAGGCTGTCTTGCTCCTGCTGAACATCTCTGGAAAAAGTGGGCTGTAACAGAGGTCCTTAACTCTGCTGCAGATCAGAGTCTGGTCACAGTGGTCTTCTTCAGGTCTCTTGTGGGAACTCAGAAAAGCATCCTCCCAGGCACAGAGCATGGCTTTTTGTGGCTGCTCTGAGCAGCCTTGGACAAGTTGTCATCTTGCTCTGTGTCTCAGTTTCCCCTTTTTTGTAACAGGATAATGACACTAGCCTAACAAGGGGAAGAAGGGAGGTGAGGAAGGGTGTTTTCATCATTATTATCCTGCCTGACAGGCTTCTGCTTCCAGAGAATGGAAGGAGGTTGGTTTTGAGACTAAGGTGGAAGGATCCTTTACCATTAAATTCTGCTCTGGCTGTGTGATGACACCTCTTCATCCTGTTTCTTTACAACAGGAAGGCAGAACTGACCAGGTCCAAGAGCTTGCTGAAACTTAGCTCTGTACCAGCCATTCTGTGGTCTCCTTTTTACAGTGCCATGCCTCTGACTAAAGGAATCTCGTCAAGTCAAGTCATAAAGACCCATCACAGCAAGGTATGTAAAACATCAGCTTTTCCACTGGTAATGCCTTCTTCATGACTCAGCTTTGAGGGAAGAAGGTAGGATTTTTAGGGCTGCACTTAGTGGGAGCAAGGCCTTCTTCTGCCTAGCAGATATTTAATAGCAGCTGAGCTGCTAAAGGGCTCTGCCAGCATAGTATTTCTACAGCACATTACCTGGGTTTGAGCTGCCAGCACTGCCTGCTTTGAAGACGAGAGCTGCAGCCCCACGGACATGTGGGATGTAGGGATGCTGTTTTTCATACTGGAATGGTTAATGAGTGTGCAGATACCACCTGGACATATGTTCAGGGTTATTCCAAGTGTAGACACCTAATGCTGTCTGCTTAAGCCCTGGGGCTGCTTTGCATTGGATGAAAGAAGAGAGCAGGAATCCATATGCTATTTCATTGGCCAAAGTGGAGAGAACAAATTGAAGTGTCTATTTTAGCACAGTGAGACAGCTGGGCTCTTCTCAAGGCAGCTCCTGAGAAGTCTCCATGCATGATGAAGGGAACAGCATCTGGCTTAGCTGTAGCTGGTAGGGCAGAAATGGCTAGACTGGCTGATGTTAAGAAAGTCTTCAGATGATTGTTTCACAAAGACCAGCAGGAAGATGTGAGCTATAACCTCCCTTCCCACTAGGAAGTCTAAGTGACCAGAGAATCCCAACAGATTTCTACATGAGGAGAGAAAATGGAAATGTGGGAGTGTATGCAGGTTTTTGGATGTTCCTGGGCAATTTCTGTGTGGTCCAGAACTAAAAACAAACAAACAAAAAAACAACACAAAAAAAAACAAAACAAAACAAAACAAAAAACCCCACTCTGATCAGAGGCTTTAGTTTTCCAGGCAGAATCTATATACTTGTCTCTTGAAATGGTCTTATGGATGCAGAGTCAATAAAGATTGCCAGTGACTGTTCTTTCCCTTTCTAGGTGAAAACTTGGCCCAAAGATTAAGTGCTTTGCTGGCCTTCAGAAAATGTGAAGCAGAGACAGAAGATGAACTCAAGTCACCTGGCATCCTGTTAGATCTTCTCTTATGCAAGCTGCCAGCCTGCTTTGTGGGAAACTCAGCAAGAAACATGGGTAATGAACCTGCCCAAGTGCATGGAAGAATGGCTCTGCTGCTAAACAGCAAGTAATTCTTTAGATTTAAGAAATAACATAACTTGTAAGGAGGAAGTTTACAAAATATGTCATCTGAAGATACTGCCATGTTTAATGCATTTGGTGCCAATGATTTGCTTTCCCTTGCTATGCTGTTTACTGAGCAGCTGGTGCAGAGCTGTTGAGCTTGCTATTGAAGATGAAAGGCTGGTTGTTTTTCAAAGCCCTTTGTGTTTTTTTACTCCTAACTGGAGCTGTCAGTGCAGATGCTTTTTATTTCCTTTATAACTGGAGGTCTGAAGTCCCTTCTCTAAAGATTTCCTCAATTCAAAGGAAGATTTCTTTTCCTCTAAGTCCCCAAAGAGTTGGAGTGTCTTTGCTCTTTTGTTTGGGCTGAAGACTCCACAGGCAATGGCAGCGCCATCGAAGGCATGCTGAAAACCTTTAACCTCCGGACAGCCCGTGTCCCATCTGAAGCTCCTTTGATGGGGGCTTAAGGAATTCAGTTTGTCCTGATTGTTTCTGTGGCCTGGGAATGAGAACACTTTTCTTGAACTATAGATGCAGTGAAAATTTTCTGGTGATTATTGTGTTTTCAGTAGTAGATAAAAGATGCTGTTTCCTCCCCTAAAATATTGTCAGAGGAGAAGAGTTAGATGCTGTACAAGCCTCCACAAAGAGACGCTTACTGAAGTTGTTTAAAAGCCAAGTAATCAAGCTATAAGAGGTCAAGTAATTTATCTAAGATTGCGGAAGGATGATGTGACGTAGCTGAGAACTGAAAACAAGGTCTTGCTTTGATACCTTAACAACTTAATTTGCCTGTTATGGTGCCGTCTCTTACACACTGAAATTGGCTGAATTACAGGATTTTCTTTCTTTCAGGTAGTCTGTCAGTTGGTGTTTCTGTTACTTTGGTGGAGGAGCTATCTTAGAAATCGGTACGATTAGTCATTTTCCCTCGCCCAAAAAAATTCCAGCCAATGGATTTCTCTCAGAGTGGCAATCTAAAGAGCAATGCCTACACATGGTTTTCCCTCAGCCTGCTCCAGCAGGGCTATCTGTCAGTTAGAGTGATGTTCCTCAATAGGTACGTAGCCCAATTGGCAGGCAGTCTAAGCAAATCTGGTAACAAAGCCATACCAAAAAGTACTGGATCCTGAGTGTTCTCCAAAGCTCTCCTATCAGTGCATTCAAGACTTCTGACTGATGACATGCTCTTCAGATAAATGTACTTTTCATCTGTAAATGTGTTTTCTGTAAATGATTCATAAAAGTGACTTCTATTGGTGTTTCCCAGGTTGCACTGTAGTCCTGCTGCTGACACCCCCCTTGCAGACCGCATCATGGTATAACTGGTGAGGAGCTGCAGCTGAGCTGCTTTTGACTTGGGTGATAAAATTCACCCAACTACTGTCGCCTCAGCTGAGTCAGAGAGTAGCAGTCCTACAGTCACGGTGTTCACTGTTGACTAGAGAGGGTTTGCTCTCCTCCCTGAGCAAAGGGTGAATTGATTCTGAATGTGCTGAAACTAGTGCAGGAACGCCTCTGGATATATTTCCAGTTTAATATTTCCCATTTATCAGAAAGGATCACTGAGAGATCCAAGCAGGTATCTGCTCGTTAGTGTAAGATGTTTCCTTCCTGCTTTATTTCGGGGGGTAGTGTTTACATAGCAAACCACATGCAAAATGCACAGAAGCTTCTTCCTCCTGTGCATCCACACACGAGCTACTGCTTTGCTGGTAGTGATTACAGAGATGAAGTGAGAAATACCTAAGCATGAGGCAAGCAACACAGCTACCAAAGAAAACTTGTGACCTGCATCTTGCATATCAGATCTTGAGAGAATTGTGTAAAGAGGAATTAAAATGGACGTGGCTACCATTGAAGGTGACTGCGTCTTAGCAGGGAGTGTAGTTCTCCCTCTCCTTATTTGGCCAAAATGCACTGTATTGTTATAAAAATCAATCACTAAGCCTGAAAAACTAGCATTAGTTAGATCAGAAGTCTGTACAGAGCTGGAAAATTAATGAGTCTTTTATGTATTAGAGCAGTACCCTTGCTTTGCATTCTCAAACATTTTGCTTTCCCTTCATGATTCTGTTACCAACTTTGCTGATTTCTACTTTAAAAAGATTTTGTTGATTTTTATTTTGTAAATTTTAACCTCTTCAAAAAAGATCCCAGGTACACTAAATATGTCACCTCCTCCTGCAGAACCTGTTTGGCTTGATAATTAATAGATTGATCACTGCTGGCAATAGGCACACTAGTCAAAATTGTACATAACTGTTCTCTATAGTAATGCAATAAAAGTGAGTCTGCTTTTACAGTGGCAATTTTAGTAGCAATCTAAATCAACACCCTGTTGATGATAAGACAGATCTTTCTTCAAACAGAAAAGCAGTACAAGTGAGGTTGTTAGTATTATGAGCACATCATTGTCTTTACTTTCTGCAATCAGCTTTTATTCATGCTTTTACAATAGGTGTAAATTTTTATATCTCCTTAGGCAAGCAGAAGAGTGAACTGAACTTTTAGAAAATTACTTAAAATGGGCAATGGTGATAAGAAATAGTCTAGCCCACACAGTGTGGAAAAGGTTAATGGATTGGAGTGCTGGGTTCTGCAAATAGGCTGCCCTGCTACCCTGAGGCTGGGCAACTAAAAAGGAAAGGCTTGACTAGGGAGGTGTTTGAAGTGTGGAGGAGTGTTTTCTGGATGGGTGTGTTGTGGAATTTGGGAGGGTAGAGAGAGAATTTCTGTGGCATGAGGCACTGCTGCAAGGTAAATGGTGTCTGAAAGAGGACTCACCTTGCATCAGGGTGGAGGACTTGCTCCTGTGACAGACCTGCCCTCCACAGCTGTGCCTTACCCTCATCCCTCTCTCTCAGGCTGAGCCATGACCAGGTGTAGAAGTGAGAAAGAACAGGGAAGTGCCCTTTATGTAATACGGTGGCAGAAATACGAGTAACTGGTAAGCTCAGTTTGATGCCCTCAAGCTGTAACTAAAGCCTAGAGCAGCCAGTTTTATTTTTCATTTCTCTTGACAGCACTGCTGTAAAAAGTTGAAAGTATTCACTGTGATCTTGCTGTGCTCTAGTTTAAAGAGCACATGTGGCACAGAAAAGTTTGTTGCTCCAAATGATGCTGTTCACAAGCTGCACTGACTCAGATGAGGAACACGATAGCAGCTCACACTTAAATAGCTTTCAAAGTCAGAGTTTCTATTCTTCCTGCTTTCTAGGTCTGACCAAAGAAGCCTGGGTCAGTCACAGGATGCTCTGCATGCATCTGTCTGGAGACAAGAGTTCTACGCTCACAGTTCATCCTGGGATTTCCACATTACTTATGTCAGGAGTGCAATTCCTGTTGGCTCCCAGGAGAATCTGTTCAGCAGAACATCCAGACATGTTAATTATTATTCTTTCTGCTCATTTCATGGCTGAACAGTCCCTTGCCATCCTCTTGCAGAACAAGACCACCCATAAACCAGTTTCAATGATACGTGCAATGCATCAGTCCCACCTGACAGCTGTGCTGTGTGCATGGCTGCATGCAGGAGCTGAGTTCCTGGGGTGGACCCGTCTTGAATAGGAGTTGCTGCCCTGTCTTTCAAACCACCTTCCCATCTGACTGCTCTTTTGTAAACTCTTATGAAAGTTGTTTGCAATTTTCAAGCAAGAGAAGGGAAATGGTGCAGTATGACTGGAAGCATTACACTATATTATTCCAACTTCAATCCTTTTACTTTTTTTTAATGGGTAACAGTATGAGAATAAGTCAGTTTATGTTGACTGGTCCTTGGGCTGGAGGGTCATGTCAGAATATCAAGTGATGGCTATACAGTGACATCTCAGACAATTTATATGTCAAGTCTTGTATGTCAGTCTAGAGAATTCTTTGTTAACACAGCTTGGAGTAGTGTAAATTCAGATCCTAGGCAAAAAACCTCCTTGGCAGCCAATGGGGATGGGCCATGACCTTGAAAAGACCAGGGAAGGGAGGGGCTGTGTATCTACAGCGTTCGGTGTGCTGAAGAACAGAGGCAAAGCCAGCTGTCAGCTGATAGTGTATTTCCATTACAATGGTTCTAGAGAGCATTCTAGGACAAAGAATCTTCAAGGGCATGCAAGAAGCAGAGGTTGCAATGAAGTGAGCTTCTCTTCACAGAATCACAGAATGGCCAGGGTTGCAAGGCATCTCAAGGATCATGAATCTCCAACCCCCTTACCACGTGCAGGGCCACCAACCTCCACATTTGATACCAGACCAGGTTGCCCAGGACCCCATCCAGTCTGGCCTTGAACACCTCTAGGGATGGGGCATCCACAACCCCTCTGGGCAGCCTGTTTCAGCACCTCACCACTCTCTCTGTAAAGAACTTCCCCCTGACATCTAACTAAATCTCCCCTCCCTCAACTTAAAACCGTTTCCCCTCGTCCTGCAGTTATCAACCCTTTCAAAGAGTTGATTCCCCTCCTGTTTGTATGGTATCTATTGTATCATCTATTGTATGCCTTGAAGTCAAAGAGCGTTTATTTCATGAAAATCACAAAGCTAATTGTGACCTTTCATATTCTCTACTTTTCTGAGGCATATGGTTGGCTCTGGCACTGTGTAAGCTGACCCTTTGTCTTAATTTTGGCTTTCCTTTACCTTCCCATTTTTGTCTTGCCTTGGTTTGTTGCATAATATATTTCCTTCCTCCTTATTGCCTGCCAAGATAGGGCATGGGCCAGAAATACAGAGAGGAAGATACCATGTGCATAACCTGCTTTCACAAGCTAAGTGCAGCTGGGCAGTGTGAGCCTGTGGTCCCTAAGCTCTTTCCTTAGCCTGGAAGCAGGCAGGGAGCCTTCTGCCATTGATGACTCTTTTGAACAAGACAGCACTTTGTGACTTGACCTACAGTAAAGTGTTAAGTGATGGGGTCTTGCTGCTGTCCAGCCATCTGTCCAGCCTTTGATGGCAAAGAGGAACTGCTCACTGTGCTAAGCTGTGTTTGGTTATCCTGTGGTTTGGGCA